GACATAGCCATGGTTATTGCTTCAACCGTAGCTCTTGCTCCTTCCTGGTTCACGCCCAAGAGGTGATTCGTTTTCTTAAACTTTTGTGTTTTTTTTTTTGGTTCTGTCCTGGGGTCTGTTTGGTTGGTGAGAAAATATGGAATTCAAGAGAGAGTTTTGGCCTTTTTATATTTTTTTAGGGTTTTTGATTGTTTTTGTTACTTGGGTCTTGGAAATACATGGTATTTCTATGTGGGTTTAAGAGATTTTGGTGATTTCATAGTTTTTCTCTTCTTTTCCGGCAACCAACCCGGAAATTCGGTTTTTTCTCCATTGTGGGCACTAATGTTCTTTTTGTGAAAGTTTATGGATGGATAGGGAAAATAGTGAGAATTGTTGGATGATTAATTAGTTAAACTATTTTGAAATTGAAAGGAGGAGATGATGTATCATGTAAATGAATGCTTTGGAGTTAAGATATATTATAAGTTTGAGCTTCCAGCTGAGTCAAGTATCATTTAAAGGTTTTGCAAGACTTTTGAGTCACTTTAGTATCTCGTTGTGCAATATAAATGTCTTTATGCTGTGATTGCAGGTTACTTGTTATCTTTTACTTGATTAACTTGATAAATTATGTGGATCGAGGAACAATAGCAAGCAATGGTGTCAATGGGAGCCTCAAAACTTGTACAGATAGTGATATATGCACTGCTGGTACTGGGATTCAGTAAGATACTAAGAACTATTTGATGGTTTCCTTGTTTCTCTGGCTTTTCATATTTGGTTGTGTTCATGCATTGCTTAATTCCATTTATTTGAGTGTGCTGAGTTTTCAGGATTTCGCATATAATCATGTTCTAGATGCTATGGTACGGAAACATTATTGTGATTTCTGAAATAAACAAATGTTCATCCGTATCAATTTGTTATGGATATAAAAGTTTCACTTGATTTCTAAGAGCACCGTATTTGAGATGTTGTCAAATTTGTTCTCTAATTAATATACTTAGCTATGGTGTGTGAAACATATCCACCAACTACAGTCTACAGTAGTGTTGAGACTTTAAGGTTGAGGCAATTGGGGGATATCTGCAATTTATCCATTTTTAACCAGTTTCAGTTCTGTTTACTACACGATGCTTACAACATGCTGTCTTTTGATCCGAGTATCTAACATCATGGTTAATCTTTCTCAGTCTGAGCTTCCACCTAGGGTGGAGTCTACTCTACTACAACAAGTTTTTAGCCTAACACCGGAAAAACTGAGTTCATTGTCTCCGGAACAACAACAAGAAGTAATAAAGCTCTAACATATGCTTTGGTGAGATCAGATTCAGCCATCGTAGTATAGTCATAAATGACAGTTTTGATGTAGCAAGTTGTGACATGTGTAGGCACCAACTTGCTTGCTAAAGTAACAAAAGGCGTGGTATTGATTCAATCGATTTTGATTGTTTGTAACAATATGTTCACGTAAGGAGTCGATTCAGAGGATCTGCAGTGCAGGAGTACTATCGTATTTGTGTAACCAACACAAGCTTGTGTTTTAGTCTAGTCAGCAAATTAGTTAGAATAGCAAAATTTTGTCTGTATCACAACATTTAAATTTACGTTCACTCAGCTAAAATTTGTTGCTTCACTTTTGACAATCCTTTGCTCCAAACATTATGTACTTTGCTCAAGGTATATTCATGATCTTTTCCTTTTGCATATTGTTATTGGTTTTCTTCAAACTAGTTGGAGCAAGCAATTTACGTGTTCGAATCCAAATGTAGCAATGATCAAGGCTCGGCTATCCATTTGTCATTGCGCCTCACGCATCATCGTGGTCTTGGGATTGAATGCAATCAAACCAAAGGTGAATAATTAAGAAAAGCATTCTAAACCCCGTCAATTGTTAGGAAAACACCTTTGTTATATTGATGTTTGGAGCAATATTACTCTTGAATCATATGTTTCTTTCGTTGGCAAGAAATTTGGTTTTTGTATTTTTTATTGAGTCATACTCTCATCTAATATTATTAATTTTGATAATATCTTTAAATAAAAAGAAATTAAAATAGAACAATAATTTAGTCTCAGTCCAAGCAAACACCAAATTGGTGAAGTACTATTTTTATTATCCTGCTTCTTAGTCCGACATTACACCAAACGCTTCACTAAGTTAGTCCAGTTTAGTCTAGTCTAAACTAGTCCAGTTAAGTCCCTGAAGCTAGTCCAGTCCGAGATAGTCCGGTGCAACAAACGCACCCTTAGGGAGCATTCACTTGAAGCACTCGTATCATGAACTCACATTCAACAATGAGTCATTATCAAGGTCTAAAATATCGATATTATCCTGATATTTCCTTCGAAATTTTCGTGTTTTTGAACTACCGATATTTTAAACCTTGATAGGAACTCTATGTGGTACTAAGTCACTCATGTATCTTACCATGCAATGTATGAAGTGTAAAATATTGTACTAATTCATTATATATAAATGATTATGGTGTGTTTAAACTTCTTTCATTAATTACTACATATTTTCTACACTCACAATGTTTGCCAGCTCGCTATATAATCAACTTAAATCAGTTAAATCCATCATGCAATGCATTTCCTTCCAATTTTTTTTTTGTGATAAACTAATAGATAATTGACTAAATAAACATCCTGCAAAGTTTCAATAAAAATTTCCAAGTTTTTCTTACAATTTCCGTGGTTTTTATTCAATTTTTATCGATATCGATAATATCCCGATATTTCCATCGAAATTTCCGTGTTTTGGACTACCGATATTTCCGATATCATTGATATTTTATACCTTGGTCATTACTTACGGGGTTACATTTCTTGGGGAGCTTCCAATTGCACACTCGCATTAATGGACTTACAACATCCAATGTGAGTCGTTATATGAAGTTACATTATTTGGGGACCTTCCAATTGTAGCAGTCATATAGATAGACTCCTAACACTCAATAACGAGTCGTTTGGCAGGTTAGGCCATTTAGGGAGCTTCCAGTTGGATTGCTCGCATTGACGGTTACAACACTCAATGGTGTGTTATTGTCCGATGAGTGACGCCTTGTTGGAGACCCCATATTGTTGGACTTACGGTTCCCAATAATAAGTCGCTATTCAGGATCAACGATCATTAGAGGGATTCTAATTGTAGCAGTTGTATTGATGAAGCACCAACATTCTTTAAGAGAAGGGATTCCCATTTTTTTTTCAAAATGTGGATTAGTTGTGAGATCCACTCTACATTAAACTTCAACGATCCGAACCGTCTATTTTGTAAGCCTCGATTCATAGATCATTCTTGCAAAAATTCATTTCAACCCAAAATCGTTTGCCAATTTAATTATCACGTTGTTTCTTATAGAAGAAATTATTCGTTAATTTCTTTGAACTCAATTAGATGTATCAAATATTTTCGTTTTGGCTATTGTTTTGCAAGGATGATCCATAAGGTGCAACTTGAAAAATATGCGGTTCGGATCATGGAAGTTCGATGTGGTGTGGGCCTAAAAACTAATCCACATTTTTGAAAAAAAATGGGGATCCCTTTCTTTAAAGGCCTCCTTCAAACGATGTTGAATATGGTAACAATAACTTTTTAGAGTTCGTTTGGAAGTGTTAAAATAACTGAAAATGTTTTTGGTGAAATTAATTTTGGATTCCAAAAGCACTTCAAGTACTTTTTGGATGAAGCACCAGATATGTACTTTGGGTAGTGAGCACTTAAGTGTTTTTCGAAGATTACTTGGATTTTGACTAAGGAATGGTTTTAAAAACATTTTCATCAAAAACGATTTCAGTCATTTTAAAAATACTTCTAAACAAGTCCTTAGTAAAATAAACTAGCAAATGCGCACACACTGTGTTTGACAAGACTTTTCCCTTTTCTTCCTTTTTTTTAATAATAACAAAATTGGGCACATGCTTGCTAAATTTTTACAGTTAATTAGAATTAGATGCCTCATTTTAGATTTTTCTAAATTAAACATCTGTTACTTTTCAACTTTTGATTAAAGTGCTTTTACTTTTAATTAAACTTCATATTCCAGGTATATTCTTAATTTAAGTATTTTATAAATTCTTTTAAATCAATTTCTATGTAAAATAAATGCACTCAATAATATTCATTAATTTATTGCTATTTTTATGGAATCTCATCCCTTCCTCAATTTAAGGATTCAATTATATCTACTGGGGTTCAAGATTAATTGGATGAAATATAATTTTTTCAATTTCCAACTCAACATTTTATATAGATTATAAAAAAACAAGAGTTCATTTATAATTAAAATTGAGATGTAGACTAGACTGCCTAATTTCATGCAACTGAAAATAAATTTGAATTTTTTAACAACTACTTATAGTAGAAACGTGAACTAGGAGTTTTCACATTTTTATTTTTATTTAAAATGAGTCCTTATTCCAATAATTAATTATTAAGAGTTGACAAAATATTTTTTAGTGCAATGTTTTTGTTTATACCATATTTAGGGCCTCGTATTTAGACCTCGTATAAATACTCGGGAGACTTAAATGTAATTATGTAATAAAGGAAGGGGCAAATATGTAATTAGGGGAGGAGCCCTTATTCTATAAAAGGGCCTCCTCACCCTCACAACCTTAGGTTTCTCCTCTCTAGAGCAAAGCTCTCACACTCTCTCCCTCACAAATACTCTCAGAGAAATACAATCAGTGTGGATGTAGCCCAAACCTTGGGGTGAACCACGATACATCTTGTGTTATTTACATTTCATGCAGATTCACGGTCGGATTTACGTTGTTCCAAGACCTCCGGTTTTGTGCATCAACATTTGGCACTGTTTGTGGGAATCGATACGAAAAGTTATGTCGGTTCTCTTTCATTTTTGCACATCCGCCGTGAATTTGCAAAAACCCACAAACCTCACTGGATTTTTCCAGAAAAAACATTCACTAAGCTCTAAAACTCATCCCTTAAACACTATCACTATTTTCTCTCTCTCTAGAAAACACATAGAAACTTTTCCAAAAAAACCATGGAGCCACCTCCTCTCACTCAGTCTCTCTTTACCTCTCTGTCTCTCTGTATGTGTACCCATCAGAGTTCCCACTTCGATCGATTAAGCATCGATGATTTCAAGGTAGAAAACGAGGTCCGACACGACTTCCCGTGCCTGTATTGCTATGAGGACTTCGACATCGTGTCCTTGTGCTCCCATCTTGAAGACGAGCACTCATGCGAATCTAAAACCACCGTTTGTCTCATTTGCTCCGTTAAAGTTGCACGAGGCATGTTAGGTCATATAACAATGCAGCACGGACACTTGTTTAAGTTGCAGAGACATCGCAGATTGCATAGAGTTGCTGTTCCTAATAGTCAGGCGCTGTCTCTCCTTGGCTGTGATCTTCACGAGGCTCATCTCCAGCTTCTAGGGAGCGGTGGATATCGATCAGAAAATGCCAACGTGTCTAATGCAGCAGCCACCGATCTCCACACTATCATGTCCTCCTCGTCACCCTCCATGCCCGTACAGCCGCCGCATGTGGCTCCCTCATCCGCTTCAAAAATCAAGAAGGAGCTTTACCTCGCTCTGTGAGACAACCCAGTTTTCATCTAACAGGGCAAGTTGGTCGCCGATCTACTTGTTCAATCACTGATCGCAATCATCTTTTCTACGTCTTGTTTTTCATTGATTTGAATTCAATTCGGTTAAAACGATGCATTTCATCTGTGATTACGACATCTGCGAGTAAAAGGCCGAGACCAAAAGCTCGAGGTTGACTGCCATGGAGAAGGTGATGTGTTTGCTGAGGCTTTCATGGACATCACTGCTCATGATTTCCTTAAACTTTCCAGCAAGGGACAGAGACGCGAAAGCCACCGACCCCAAGAGGAGCGCACGCGACTCCCACGTGCTTATTTTGGCTCCATTGCCCATTCGGTTTTGCTGTGTTTATTGTGCACCTCGCAACAATCCCCATTACTGGAACTGGAATCAACCCAACAAGGAGCTTCGGCGCCGCTATGATCTACAACAACGATAAAATCTGGGATGACCACTGGATCTTCTGGGTCAGACCATTTGTGGGAGCACTGGCTGCTGTGGCGTACCACTAGTACATTCTGAGGGCAGCGGCACTCAAGGCGTTGGGATTCTTCTGCAGCAACCCAACCAACTAAGACAAAGATTGAATAAAAAAAAAAGGGTACAGAAAGGAAAAAGTCAGGATTGGATTTTTTCTTCTGTCGACCACCCACTCTAACTCCATCAGAGCCACTTTAGCTGAATTCGTTGCCACTTTTATTATTGTCTTTGCCTGGGAAGACTCTGCTTTTGCTCTTAGGGAAGATCTACAAGGATTTTCTATCATTAACCATGTTATTATTGTTTGCCATTTTCTAAAAGACAGCAGCAACAAAGCAGAAAGATTAAGCAAAACAGAAAAAGAAAAGAGCAAAGCAGAAAGTAAACAAGAGCAAAAGCAGATAATATTAATGGGGAGCATAGTGGGGTGGTGCAGTTTACAACCGTGATGATGATGGGCCAATAAGCTAGCTCATTCGAATTCAGATCTGACAGCAGCTGTTACTCCCAGTCTCTCAAAAACCGTCCAAGCCAACGAACGCTACAAACAGAAGCAACCCAGTACGCAGTAGGCGCAGTACGCACCAACGATCTGCAACTGTCGAAACCTTTATTTTAGAATGATGTAATTTATTTTTATCTTTTGGAGACATCTGTATAAACCTCATCAGAGGGTAATATGTATAAACCCCATCAGAGGGTAAAAAAAAAAAAAAAAAAAAAGGCAAAGCCCAAAATAAATAGGCTGGCATGTTGTGGAGAGCGAATGCCCATAAGCCTAAAATAGCATTAATCAGGTTATCAAAAGTACGCCCAGTACTCCATAATTATTCGGCAATCTGCCGCTATTACCACCAACCAGGTGACCAAAAGTACGCCCAGTACTCCAAAATTATTCGGCAACCCGCTGCTATTACCATCAATCAGATGATGAAATGTACAACCCGTACTCTAATATCATTTGGCAACTAGCCATTCATGCCACCAACCAGGTAATGAGATGTACAACCTGTACTCTAATTTGGCAACTAGCCATTCATGCCACCAACCAGGTGATGAAATGTACAACCTGTACTCCCCTTCATGCCACCAACCAGGTGATCAAAAGTACGCCTAATACTCCAAATTATACATGAGCATTACTCATGTTATTCATACATAAACATTCATGAGCATCGCTCATAACAATCATACATCAACATTCATGACCATCATTCATGTCAACATTCATGAGCATCACTCATGTTAACATTCATGAGCATCACTCATGTCAATCAGCTTCAAAAGCTTCATTTACAGAGCTCTAGCTTCAAAAGCTTCATTTACAAAAGCTCTAGCTTCAAAAGCTTCATTTACAGAGCTCTAGCTTCAAAAGCTTCATTTACAAAAGCTCCAGCTTCAAAAGCTTCATTTACAGAGCTTTAACTTCAAAACTTCACTTGCAAAGCTTCAGTGCAGGGTATACAAATACCGCCTCCAAACAACTGCCACTTCGGCATATACATGGATTCAATTTGAAGTCTCCAGCCAATAGCCTATATTGACCGAAGACTTGGGGGACTACATTATGTACCATATATTGGGCCTTAACTGGGCCTCATGAAAAATACTTGGGGGACTTAGCCCATTACTTATGTATTGAGGAGCGAGCCCTTATTTTATAAAAGGGACTCCCTCACCTTCATTAGAGAGCAACGCCGCCAGCTGAGCAACCGCCTCGCCGCGAGCATCACTCCTAGCCCATCACTTATGTATTTAGGAGCGATCCCTTATTTTATAAAAGGGACTCCCTCACCTTTATTAGAGAGCATCGCCGCCAGTTGAGCAACCGACTCGCCGCGAGCATCACTCCTAGCCCATCACTTATGTATTGAGGAGCGATCCCTTATTTTATAAAAGGGACTCCCTCACCTTTATTAGAGAGCATCGCCGCCAGCTGAGCAACTGCCTCGCCGCGAGCATCACTCCTAACCCATCATTCATGTATTGAGGAGTGAACCCTTATTCTATAAAAAGGACTCCCTTACCTTCAAACGCCGTAAGCCGAGCCAACCAAAGTAAGATAAGCCACAAGCCGAGCAGCCTCGCAGCGTGTGTTACTTCTAGTTGAGCGTCATTTCAGATTGAGCACTACCTCATATCGAGCATCAATTCAAGACAACATCTAGTTACTTCGGCCCACACATGGACTGAATTTTAAGTCTCCAGCCAAAAGACTCTCTTGACTGAAGACTTGGGGGACTACTGTTTATGCCATATTTAGGGCCTCGTATTTAGACCTCGCATAAATACTCAAGGGACTTAAATGTAATTATATAATAAAGGAAAGGGCAAATATGTAATTAAGGGAAGAGCCCTTATTCTATAAAAGGGCCTCCTCACCCTCACAACCTTAGGTCTCTCCTCTCTAGAGCAAAGCTCTCACACTCTCTCCCTCACAAATACTCACAGAGAAATACAATCAGTGTGGACGTAGCCCAATTAGTGTTATTTACATTTCATGCAGATTCACGGTCGGATTTACGTTGTTCCAAGACCTCCGGTTTTGTGCATCAACAGTTTTAATGTGAAAAGTTATCTTTTTTTTTTGGGTTACACAACTTACACATAACGTACCATAAGTTTTGTACGTACCAAAATAAGGATAATACAACGTACTAATAACTTGGTACGTACTAAATAAAGAATTGCATAACGTACCAAAAGCAATATTTATAACGTACCAAAATACTAATACGTACCTAGATTAAATTTATATAACGTACCAATAACGTACCAAATCATTGGTACGTTATATTTAATATATCTGTTTGGTACGTTACATTTAATATATGTGCATGTTATATTTCATAATTGTATGTTAATAGGATGTTTATGTGTTTTTAGAATTTAAAACAACAAATTATTTTAATAAGAAAAATTCATTTTGAACGAATTATGATAAGATAAGATAGGAAGTTTGTGGTGATTTTAGAATATTTGTGATATTATTTTCTAAACTAGTTGGTTAATTAAATACAATAAAAATCATAATTTTTAATTAAAATTTAGTAGAAGAATGTTTGATCAAAAGTTTAAAAGTTATAGATGTTTGATTAAAAAAAATTCAAATTTGAGGCATCTATATCAAAATGCCCCTTTTTGTTTTAATGTAAAATTACTATTTAGCCCTGCTCATATTAAAACTTGTTTGTTATAAATAGGAGTAAAAATGTTAAACTGGGGTCATGCTTGGTATTTTGAGAAAATAGTTAGCAAGGTCTCTTGTATTAATAATACATACAAATACTAATATGACCCCCTTCTTCTTTTTTATTTATTTTTATACAATTATAGAGATAGAAAAAGTTGGATAATCGAAGAAAATATATTATTAGTAATGCTTTGTCATGTTTCCAATTTGAGATTCTCTTGCACATATAAACAAGTTAAGCAACATCACCCCTTTCTCCTCTCTCTTTCCTTTCCATATGTGTGGAAAGATTGGACAATAATTGCTTTGGACAGCAGCATCATAGCTTGCTTTCTCCTTGTCACAAGGGGAAGTTAAATTCGATGAAATGATATTTCACTTTAAATGTACTACATAAAATCTACGTTTTTCTCGGTTTTAATTTTTATTCAAATCGAGGGACTGTTATTGGATTTATCAAATTTTTACCACATATGTTAGGATAAATACTCTATCGTTAAAACATATTCAAACCGAGTAACCATTATTGGTTTTATCAAATTTTTACCACGAACGCTAGGATAAATACTCTATCATTGTAACATAGCTTGTTAATTTGTAGCTATCATGTAAACATGCAGGAATACAAAATTACATAACGCCGTAACAATTATCTCGAGGACCATGAAAAAGGTATTACAAATTTACAAAATTCCCTTTTTATCTACCTATAATCTGCCATTTTCAGCACTACTAATCTTACCTTCTGCATCAATTTCATTAGGAAGGCATACTTCCACTGTCAAACTCTCAACCTTTGCTTTTAGTGCTTCTACATCCAAAGCAGCAAGAATCTCCTCCTTTTTCTTTGCTTCTGCCCTTTCTCTTTCTTTCTGAACCTGATAAGCCTTTTCCTATATCAGCCTTCAACTCCTCTATTCTTCGTCTAATACGGGCTTCATTTACAACTCTTTCAATTTCCTTATAAATCCCAGCGTTCGCCTTTACTATCTCCTCCTTCAACTTTGGAGGAGTAGTCACCACATTTTTCTTGGTCACGGTGACAACCTCTAAGTTAGCTGACTTTAAGACCTTATCCGTTAGTTCCATCAAGTCCTTATCTGTTGCTTCCCCTTTCGATATCTTTTCTTGGGCATTCTTCAAAAGTTTCAATTGTGCACCACCAAAAGGCTCCTGTAACAGCAACCACATCATCGATAACAACAAAATACAACACCAAAAACTACTAGCTAATTAGTTTGTCTTCAATTAATTTGGAACCGAGATCTTATAATGAAGGGACTGATGAAGATAAGAATTAAGTAAGTCTGTCTATTGT